AATGAAAACTTCAGTATACATAACGTTGAGCATTAGACAGAAGAACCTCGCCTAGTGAACCAGTTTCACAAGGTACTAGCCAGTCCTAAGCCCGGATAAACAGAGAAGTTTGGGCACAGGGCTAGCAACCCTACTCCGTGAAACCAATCAAACCCCTAAATAAACATCAAAGCATAAAGAAAATATAAAAAATAAAATGAAACTTATTCCCGATTGGAATCCCGGAGAGGAAATGACGCCGGTTGGTGAAAACCTTCGGAAGCCAATTGGCCGATGTGTCTTCTCTTTCTCGATGAAAGCAAAAGTAAACATGGGAACATGGAGTGTCTGCGCTATGTTTGAACCTAGTAAGGCTGCCCAGATTCCCAAAGAGATGAGAAGGTATGGCATAGAAGTGCTAGACTAGGAATCTGCGAAAGCAGATGGAATGGAAGTGGACTCTCCAAACAGTCAACTGGAGAGGAGTCAATAATCTTTTCCGATATTGTCACCCAGACGACAACCATGAGCACACTGAGGGAGTGGCTATCATGAAGTCCCTAACAGCAACGAAGGCTCTCATACAGTGGGAACCAATCTCCTGCAGGATCATGACAGCAGGATTCAGATCAAATGGAAGGAAAGTCACTACCATACAATGCTACCCTACGCACCTATAAATAATGCAGATGAAGATAAGAAGGAGGAATTCTATAGACAACTTCAATCAACACTGGACAAGACTACAGCCCAGTTGGCGACATCAAAATTCTAATGCATGTGGTGACACGAATGTCAAACCCGGAGCAGACAATACAGGAAGAGAACTCATCATGGGTCGAAAAACACACAGTGAAACGAATGAGAATGAAGAACTGTTTGCAGAATTCTTTGCATTCAACGATTTGGTGATTGGAGGCACTGCGTACAAACACAAAGATATTCACAAGGCGAAATGGATTTGATTTCACCAGACACCAGGACACACTAAAAATCATATCGACTTCATCTCGATATGAAGAAAATGGAGATGGAGATGCAGCCTACTGGACACAAGGTGAAGAAGAGGAGCAGATGTAGGTTCACACCACTCACACCACTATCTAGTGCAAGAAACCTTCCAAATCAAGTTGGAAGCCTTCAAAGAAGTTGGTGATAGATCACAGTTTAAGTTCAACACCCAGAACGGAAGCTGAAGGGCGAAACTACAAAGGACATCTTCACGTCAGACAGTCATCGGGAAGAAATGGGAGACATAAGGCAACATCCATGAGGAAACCTGACCGGAAGAACACTGAAACTCCCTGAAACGAAAGTCGAAGGAAACTTGCACAACCATGTTAGAAAGGAAGAAGAAACAAGACAAGGAATGGATCTCCACAGACACATGGAAGCTGATTGGAGAGGGAGAGGAAGATGGTGGTGATGAAGCAGAAGATGAACCAGTTCAGTCTAGTGTAGGGATGAACAACGAAAAGAGGAAATGAACATAATCTACAAAACACTACACTGGACAAAGAAGTGAGGAAAGGGGCATGGAAAGACAAAAGACACTTCTACAACACGCTTGCAAGTCAAGCAGAACAAGCTGCAGGCAGGAGAGACAGAGACCTGACAACATTACATCAAATAACCAGGCTACTCACTATCTGAGAGGAGATCAACACAGATGAGACCAGTGGGAGATAGTGAAGAAAACCTAATTAGGAAAGAGGAGAAACAAAGGGAACAGTGGGCTGACCACTTGAGAAAACTCTTCAGTCGACCACCACCACCACCACCGCCACCTGCAACTCGTCTAGAAACACCACCAACGTCCCAGCCACAGAATTACCAGTAAAGACAAACCGTCCGACAAAAGAAAGAGTGAAGTCCTGGAAGCCATAAAGTTGCTGATAGCCGGGAAAGCAGCAGCACTAGATGGAATTCCACCAGAAGCACTGAAAACACAAGCAGAAACAACAACCGAGAAGCTCACATTACTATTGCAGATAGTTAGGAAGGGAGGAAGCAAAGGTACCTTCCGATTAGAAGAAGGGCTACCTTCTCAAACTCCCAAACAAGGGAGACCTAGGTCTTTGCAAGAAATGGCCACGAATTATGCTCCTCTACATCCGAAGCAATTAAAATATTAAGCCGCGTCATTCTGGAGAGACTAAAGCACGCTGTGGATTCAAAATTTCGACCGGAACACGCTGAGTGGTTGGCTTCAGGAAGAACAAATCATGTGTGGATCAAATTGCAACGCCACGCATCATCTTATCATAGAACAGAGCATAGAATGGCAGTCAACTGCACCTCGGTTTCATCGACTTTGAATAGGCCTTTGACAGCGTTGACCAAGATGTAATTTACGAGCTGCTTCAACACTACGGTTTTAGTGCCACAAACCTTTATCAAACTCATTCAACAACTGTATGCTATATTGGGATGGTACATGCCAAGCGATTCACAGTGGAAAGCTCAGTGACGCCTTTGACGTAAGGATAGAAGTAAGACAAGGCTGTCTACTATCACCCATGATATTCCTGACTGTGGTCGGCTGGATCGTGCGACAAATTGTGGGGAGCGAGAAGAAGGGCATACGCCCGCTGGACCGATGGAAAGATCCTAGAAGATTTGAATTTTGCCTATGATGATGATGATGATGATGATGATGATTTATGTCTAGTGTCGCACGGGCTCGAAGATCTACATGCAAAAACCAACAAGTTGACAGAAAACGCAGGGCAGCGAAGACGGGACTTCCTTCAGGTGGACGTAGAGAAGACGGTGACGAAGATGCCCAACCAACAACAACAACAACTACTACTACTACAAGCACCAATCACCATGAATGGGAGAAATCTAGACGAAGTTGTCCCTTTCACCTACATAGGCAGGGCAGCATCGTTTCAACTACAGGTGGCGGCACAGGCACAGATGAGGATGTCAAGGCAGCCAGCATCGAAAAGACAGTAAGACGGGCCTTCATTAATCTGAAATCGGTGTGGAGATCTACTGCACTGCACTGCACTGCACCCAGCATAAAGCGTCAACAAGATCCGCATTTTCAACACTAATTCAGTCAAGTAAGTCAGTGCTTCTATGTGATGGTTGAGAGACTTGGCGTGTTACAAAAAGCATCTCCAACAAACTACAGACATACATCAACAGCTACCGTCTACGCTCACTCGATACTGACACTGAGAATCAGATGACTAGAAAGAATAAGCAACAAGGAACTCACTCTGGCCTGGTAACGAACTGATCAAGAAGCCATCACCCGACAAATATGCAGAAGAAAGTGGAGATGGATTGGATCGGGCATACACTGAGAAAACCGATTGAGGACATCACGCACCAGGCGACGCCCTTGAGTGTAACTGCAAGGGGAAACGACGAGTTGGACGTCTGAGGGTGACATGCAGGAGATCGTGTGAGGAATAAATAAAAGCTTCTGGACAGTCATGGAGCTAGGCTAAAATGACTGTAGAGGAGAGAGTGGAGTGGTGACGTACTACTGAGGTCCTATGTTCCACTAGGAACCCAAGGGACAAATAATAATAATAAACTAGACAGAAGGGGAAATCTATTTGGTGATATTGTGAACCTTCAACGATTCAGGTGACCATAACAATTGTTTTGTCCGGTTATTATCCGCCTTATCTAGCACTGTTTGCTGAAGGAGGATTATGTTGCGAAGAAACTTAGTGTTGCATACAAAAAGTTGGCATCAGTAAATGAAATCGCTGACTGTTGGTCTAAGCCATGTAGGGGAATGTAGACTTCTTGCTTGGGGTGCGCATGACAATCAAAATCAGCTCTTGGAGACCCTAGGTGATCGGATGCAGAACCAACCTCATTGGTACAGATGCAGCTCTATATACCATCATCTTAACCATCATACCGAATTTTCATCAATGTTATATTGCTTCTTTTTTTATTGTCGCGACTTATTACCAGTTTGACTACTTTCTTCCTTATTTCTGTATCTTTCGTCTTAATGTCTCCTACCTGATATGAAGTGTGACAGAATGAATTGTTACGCGGTAATGTCAGGTTTCCTACAAATGCTGACTAAAATAAGTACGAAGACCGTACTAAAACATAAATCACTTCGTTACCGAATAGTAAAGAATGTTAATATGACTTGCTGAATTACACTTCTCGTTAACTTGCGATCAAGAAGACAATACGGGAAGGATAGTTGCAAGAGTATCAAAATATTTTTCAGTGTGAGTAACTAACTGTGGTAGAATAAGCATGAGCTAAAGTTAACAGATGAAGGATTCATATCAAAATGGTTGAATAATTATAAGTGAGAAAGGGAATAATATTCAAATTAAGAAGTCGGAATTCGAATTTAAAGTTTGTATAATAAAACAAAGATTTTTCAGCGAAGAAAATTTCATTTTCAAAAGCTGCACAATCGTATTTATTTGTTTTGTCTCAATGGGGATTATTAATTTAATTAAAAAGTTTATGTAACAACAAATAAAAAAATCAAGTGGCAAAAGACAAGAAGGGTTAATAAAGTCTGAGGATTAATAATGTTAGCTAATGGATGTGGGAAGTGAATGGAAAGCTAGTTTTTGAAATCACAATTTTAGCTTCCACTGTCAAATCCTTTAGGCTTCAGCAATACTTAATAAACATTCATTTACACCTTTCGGAAACTTCTTCCAACTTCCGTGAATTAGGTGAAATGAATCTCGTGAAACAGGATGTTTATTGTCGAATGAGACTTTGGAGTGATAGTAACTACTTCATACAAGACGTTTTTTTTCCAACCAGTAAGATACTGAAAATTTATGCTATTCAAATCAGAATATCACCGAGTAAAAGGGGTACAAACTAATACACAATAACAGAGAATTAATACAGTTAGTGGAAAGTTCACAGAAAAGCAAATCGCTACACAAGAATCTCTTTACCTGCTGTGTTGTGATAAAATTCATTCAGCCATTTAAGTATGTATGAAACGCTAAAATCTCACCAGTCTTCATTAAACTAAAGAGAATTACTATCAATAAACTTACTTGAACATTGACAGCTGTTTCTTTAGCCGAGATTGGAGGTAAAACAGCCTGACTACCAATTAGCAATATCGGCTTCTCAGAAATCCGGATAAGTTGAGCTAATTTTATAATCTGTCTTTTCGATGGGAGGGGAATTTTCGGTGACTTAATAACAATGGCACCTAAACCACCAGTTTTTGAAGGATCCAATTTTGATGTAAACCCATTGGCGAATAAGTTGAAAAGATAAAAACGTAGGTACCTGAAAACAAAAAGTAATGATCAACTGAGAAGGAAAAGTGATAGGATGTTTCGTCTTCAATATCAAAGTAGGACCAAGCATTACTGCATTACTGTCATATCAACACATCAAGCAGCAAAGAAATAAGATGAAAGACAAAGAAATATAGGAGAGTCGGTGAAAAGCAGTTAGTTACAGGAATGAGGAATAAGAAAATACTGAATTCGTTATGATGATTAGAATGAAGATATTGTGTGGATACATCTGCGTCATTGAGATCGATTCTGAACTATGTCACATAATGGGGAGTTCAGTATTTCAATTCTTTATGTTAGGGTAGTATGCACAGAGTGAATTATGTGTAACTCTCGGAAATATAATATAAATAATTTAAATCGATCAAGAAGTTTAAGATTTACAGTTTGATTACTACAGAATAATTATTAAAGCACATCTGCAGCCTACAGAAAGTACATACTAACGCTAAACCATTTAAATCGGGACTATGGTTTCATAGTTATGGTTATGCTAAACTAGTACGACAAATATTTGCGTTCAGCTATGTGAGAACTCTCATGCAAGTCTACAGGTTTAAGTCACTAAGTAGTAGAGTAAGTGAACGGTGATTAAGAAAGCGTGAAAAGACATTAACGTTGTGCGTAAGCAGTGTCGAAGAAATGTAAATGATGATAAGAACCTAATTTATAAGTAACTAAAAGAAAGCGTACAGATTCGTGGACTAGGTAATGAGTAACATCTATTGTGACACTACCTGGCTACCTAGACCTAAGTGGACGTAGCAGGGTTCGAGTCCGCGAAAGAGTGGTCGAAATTCAACTACTCAGTCTAATAAATCACAGATCCCTAACTTGTTAAGTTCAACAGTATGATATTCAGTTGCATTCGATAATTAGTTGAAGTGCTTTAAATGGGTTGAAATGCTCTGTTTCCTTTCATTGCTAAGTAGTGAGGTATCGTTTATTAAAATGGGGCTATGTAAAGCGGAAGTCATCAATCAATAATTCAATGAAGAACACAACTTTATTTCCATCATATTTGATGGTAACTGGCAGTGAAAAAAGGATGAGAGGTTTTATTAAGTCGACATTTGTCAGCTGAATCAATTTTCATAACGATGTGTCTGTTTCGATAAGACCTAAAAAAATAAAATCACCAGTGAATTGTCCAATAGGTAATTGAGCTGTGACAATCACTTGTGGTGGGGCAGGTATTAATTGTTATGACGGTCATAGTTTTTACATTGTTGGCCGAAGCAGTTGAACTGGGAAGTTCATGAAAATAAGGTGAGACTATACATAAATTGTAGCACCAGTGCATGAAGTCTCAGACGGTTTGAGCCGTGTAGGGGAGATGTAGGCTGTCTGGTTGGAGTCCTCAAGACGAGAGGAATCGGTGGTTGAGAACTTTTGGTGATATGGCTGAGAATCAGCCACAATGTTGCAGATGTATTCACTCCTTGACATTTTTTAAAGCTTGAATATTTGCACTAACCCTTATCTTCAAATTGTATATTCTCTCAGATAACTTTGTCTACTTTGATATCACTCTTTTTATATCAGCTTGCCTTTGTATACTACTGTGAAGTGTGGCAATTTGAACCAATGCACTCCTGTGCGAGGTTCTGCGTTGATTCAATAAAACCTGTGAAAAATACTTGTTTTTTTCGATGATATTGACACTAAGTGACTGTTTGAATTCTGATATGTGGAGTAGGGCTTAAAACCAAGAGTCAGTAGTTGAAAATTAAGCAAATAAGTCGTAGAACAACTCCTACAACCATGATCTCTGTCGGCCAATAGTTAACAATTCAGTCTGTTCTGAAGATGATTACTGGGATAGAGCTAAAATATTTCTCCGAAAGTATATCGCAATCTAAAAACAATTTAGTCAGAGTATGCTGAGATAGCTCACACATTATATACACTCCTAAGCTAACTATCAGGACTCAGAAAGTCTATATACTTACCTAGTATAAAAGGAACTTTTACGTGGAGCTCAACATGGTTTATAATGATAAAGTAGTTAACAATATTTCTCCGTGACATAAAAGAGAAGGATAAACTAAACACGCAATAATTATACTAGGTCAAGTAGTTTTAAGGTAAATAGAGAAAATTAGATGTTATGAACTTGAATGATTTTATTGAAGTTCAATTGATTTACACAAAAAAATAAATGCACAACATAAAATTGTTTTCTTTTTTCAACTAGAAACTGACAAAAATCACTCACCAGTTCATAATCTTTTGTCTTAAAGAGTTGGTCTTGTTGGATATATTAGTGTGCTCTTCAATTAATTTGTATGGATATAATATGTCAATCGGTAACTCGACTAGAACTGGTCCTGTATGATGAAAAAAAAGTATTATCAGCAGTTAAATGGAAAAGAAAATGCTGAGAAATTATGCGACCCCACATTGCCTAACAACTGTTCACAGGCGGTGTGCAACTATGCTAAACTGTGAACTCCTTGAGTTAATATTATTTAATGTTCGAAGGATAAAGCATCGCAACACTGCGGCCTATCAAATACTGAAAGTAACTTTGACAGTCCTTATGAACTATGTAGAATAGAGAGGAACCGGACAGTGAGACTTAAATAACGCCTAACGATAAACGAAGCGTGTATACATTGCACTATTTACGCAACCTATCACGAAGTATACAAAAAGTGACAGTTTTATTCAAATAAGCCAGCGCTAATTGTATTTCCCATAATCACACACAGTTTTGTCACATATTATGACAGTGACTCAAAATGGGATTACAAATTCCACTTTAGTAATAGATTGAATCTCATCAATTTGTAGGCTTATTAATGAGTAGAATTTGGGTAGTATGGTAAAGTGTAATCCCCTTATAGTTCTTTTAATGTATGTATTACACACAGAAACAGTATTATTTACTGGATGAGGTTTCGATCACGATTAATTGTTCATAATAATATAAGAGTATATCCGATGGCGTGATTATGAGCGACAAATTCTGCTCAAAACGTTATCCAGTACATAATAGTGCTTCACTGTGTGATATATATGATAAATTAATTCAAACGGAATTTATCAGCCCCATCTCGACATGATAACTAAAAGAAGTGAACTCATACCATAATTTTGATTTCTAATTTGTAAATAGCGGGACAAATCCATCTGTATTGAGAAAATATTCAATATAACCAGCTGTTCACTATTATACCAACAAAATGAAATTCTCCAGTTTGTCCCCTATAATATACTGTCACAAAAACTAAACCACAGAAGCTGCAATATAACTATACACAGTAATAATTTTTGTATGGTAATAAAGACTTTATTGAGATCAAATCAAGACCAATTAAATAAACTCAATATTTTACCAGGTGTATCCGACTGTGCAATATAAAACGCTTCACAAAGAATAGGAATAATCTCTCTGACATAATCTACACGTTTGCACCATTTACAAAGTGGACGAAACAGAGTGAGTTGGTCAATATCCTGAAGTGACCCACGACCACGCAAAAGGCTTGCTGCAGCACCAGCTAACAAAACCACTGGAGATTCAGCCATCTGAGCATTCTTCACTGCAGTCACTGTATTCGTGAGACCAGGTCCTAAAAAATGGATATATAAAAGTAAAGTTAAACTTCTACTTGCACTACTTTGGCTTTCAAGTAGCATATAAACGCATTACTGATAATAGTCGCTGCCAACGACCACATGAAATAATGACGGGTATCCCTGACTAGTTTGAGTTTTGGGTGCTTCCATGAGATTAAAACTATCCGAATAACCTCATATGCAGTTAGGTGCAAACAAAAGTTACGTATTTTAATATCAGCGCCCAACAATAATCAAGGTCAATATCTCAGGGAAGATCGCAGATATGCATATTAAAGCGTGGAATCGTAGTTGTAAGATATGGTTACATGATGAAGGGCAATCTCAGTGTAGTACACTCAGTCAAGAAAACTTACACCGTAAAAACTTAAGTATGAAGTTTCTAACATATTTCAACAAAAAGTTTGATTGAGTGACCACAGAAATGTAGAATCTGGCCCAAACGTTTAATCGATTCACGTTGTCAAACTCTGAAATATCGCAACAAATGCTACAACGGTCAAGTTTAATGAAGAAGCAAATTAGAATAATCTACTTTGCGTCTTCACATGATCGACAACTAAAGAGGTACTTGAAATATGTTATTTTTTCGACAGTTAATTATCCACTATAGACAATTGTCGGTGGGAAAAAAAGCTGTGTCATTTAATAGGTTTGTAGACATTCACTCCAACACTCTTGTGGTAAGTAGAACTAATATTGATTGCGCATTATCTGCTGATTTTATTATTAGCAGCGGGTTGTTAGCAGTTTAACAATCCAACAAATGATATAAATAGAAGAGGTAAAAACAAGGCAGAGACAAAGACGTGAACTAACAAAACATTTAGATTTTAGAACAAAGTAAAGAGTCAGTAGATGAACATAAGCGTTACAGCCTTTGCGGACATGGCAATAAGCCATAAGACTTATTTTCAAAATAAAGATGCTAGCTAATCAGCATTATCTCATCCATTCTACTATTCACTTTTTCTCTATATTTTCCAGTGATATACTGATAAATATTTGCAGCTTGGTATGTTATTCCGGAAGCTTTAGTGCGCTGGAGCTTCAGTTTTCCCTGATAAAACTCGAGGACAGCACGTACATTACCATGGAAAGCTCTGTTCAAAAATCGCATCGAAACAGACTCAGCAACCACGCGTCTGTTCGTTCAGTATATCTATTGTGCGAGGGCTAATGAAACTACGTGGATACCCAAACTACGGTGGATGGAGAGGAGTTCGAACCTGTGATCAACTGGGTGAAAGCCGACGGTCTAAACCAATGAGCCACAGCTCTATCCGGGAAAATTCAAACACAAAGAGTACTCAAACTATGCGAATGCCAATCCTTAATTATAGTAGTCCATATGCCATATGCCTAACAAGTTGACGGAAGAAGAAGCGAAGACGGGACTTCAAGTGAATATAGAGAAGACGGAGGTGATGAAGATACCCAACCAACAGCAACAACAAGCTCCAATCACCATCAACAGGAAAAACTCAAAGGAAGTAGCCGCCTTCACCTATCTAGGCAGCACTATTTCAACTACAAGCGCCACAGGCACAGACGAGGATGTCAAAGTCAAAATTGGAAAAGCAAGACAGGCGTTCATTAGCCTGAAACCAGTGTCGAAATCTTCTGCACTCAGCATAAAGAACGAGATTAGGATTTTCAACACCAACGTCAAGTCAGTGCTTCTGTATGGTTCAGAGACTTGGCGTGTTACGAAAGGGATTTTCAACAAACTACAGACATTTATCAACAACCGCCTACGCTGGCTCGTTACTGAAGATCAGATAGATAGCCAGAATAATAAGAATACGCAACAAGGAACTCTGGGAACGAACCAACCAAGAACCTATCGCTGAACAAATATGCCCTGGAAAGAAGTGGAGATGGATTGGGCATACACTGAGAAGGCCGACTGGGGACATCACGCGTCATGCCAGGCCCTCGAGTGGAACCCCCATGGGAAGCGACGAGTTGGGCGTCCCAGATGAGGGTGACATGGAGGAGATCGTGCGAGGAGGAAATGAGAGCTTGTGGGCTGTCGTGGAGCCGGGTTCAAAAGTTTGCAGAGGACAGAGTGCACTTGGGACGTGCTACTGAAGCCCTATGTTCCATTAGGAACCCAAAAGACGAATAATAATAATAATAATAATAATAATAATAATAACAATAATAATAATAGTAATAATAATAATAATATGCCTAGGGGATGAAGCTACACTTTCAGATCCCCAATAATCTTCAATGACAATGTTTCGGTATTTTATCCTGTTAAGTTTTACCTCTGTAAATTATTAACTTATCGTCATGGTATGAAAAGTTCACATACACACGGGAATCTAAGTAGTTTTAAGCTGTATAAAATAACTTTAACAAAAAGAAAATGATAAGTCATGGAGCTTTCATTCAGTTGTCACTCAATTTTCCAGGATATTTGGCATGCTAGTCGTTAATTTCACAGATATTTACGTTTAAACATTTGACAAATACTATATGAATATTTTCCGTAACATAAATAAAGTAACCTAATATGTAACTAAATGGCAACTTACCTGCAGTGACAACAGCAACACCGACAGAACCAGAAAGTCTTGAAACAGCATCGGCAGCGAAAACAGCTGAAGCTTCATGTCTTACATCTATCACTCGTATATTTTCCTTTTCTGCAGCTGTTAGTATCGGTGATATGTGACCACCGATGAGTGTAAAAATAAACGGCACATTATGCGCCTGAAACTTTGTCAATTTATCTCAAGTTTTACCTTTAATACATCTGCGACCAGTTCTCCTCCATAATGCCCTGAGCTTTTATCAAGCTAAGAAGTGATAAACAAATAAAAGCCCGGAAACTTACTTCAAAATGGAAATATCTGCGCAAACCCTTAAATATAAAAAACAGTCCAAAAATTAAAAGCGATCCAGTTGCTATAAATGACATCTTAAGCTCACATCTAAAAAAAAGAATAAAATACTGGTACTGAACAGATTATTAAGAACAAAATCGCGGTCAAAATCATTCTACTATTTAACAAGAGCGTAGAAGTATGTGCATATGTTAAGAATTCTGAAATCTTTGTGAAATGAAACAACTAAACTAGCCAAACGAAGAACAACCGCTACTCGATAAAAATCAATTGTATGACGAAAGATTATTAGTGGTTTGATATTTACCTGATCTATGTGTCAACCTAACTTGGGGGTTGAAAACTCTCAGTGATATGGTTCAGAAGTGACCTCAGTGCCACAGAAGTATACACTTCCTGTCACCTCCGAAGTTTTGAACTTTCCATTAAACTTCACTTATTTTTTCTCACCTCTTATGCACTTTTATTTAATTCTATGTCATTCCTTTCCTATCCACTTTTTTTGTATGGTGTTGTAATGCATAGCAAGGGGATTGACGATAGACCGTACGGCTGCTCTTCATAGATTAGTAAGAAATCATTAGCTGTCTTGAGACTTTTGCTCTTAGTCTCGATTAGTTTTACATTTTAGTTGTATGATTCATGCTATTTTGAGTTTTATTTACTCTGTATAAGCATGTGTTATTTTACTGAGTGATGCGATACAAGGTATCATCAATTCATCAGCTTTCTATTCATTACTCATTTCGTTTTTTGATGATAGTTATAAAAGAAAGCGCTAATCAGTTAGTCAATTATTTCGTCTTTGTGAGTGATAAACAATGGGACGCGCCAGACCAAACATCTCATACAGATTCATCTTCGCAATCAAAAATCAATCTAGAACCCAGCGAAAGACAGAAGCAATCCAGACCTTCGCATACAAATGCATCGGTTTTAGTTGCTACACTTCACAGTAATATAGAAAGCACGTGTGTAGAAAAAGGATAATAAAGTAGACAAAGTTGTAAAAGAGAATACACAATTTGAAGACATCAAAGAGTGAATGCATGAACTCAGTCGTGACCGATTTTCAGCCATGTCACTAAGAGTTCTCAACCACTGATTCCTTTCGTCTCGGAGACATCGACCAGGTGGTCTACACCTCGTACATGCTTTAAAACAACAGTCAAGGACTCAATCGACTGGTGCCACATACTGGTCTAGCCAACCTGAACCACCTTACAAACTAAGCCAGCTTCCCTTAGTATGAAAAGTCAATGAATGTAGCAATTCCGTATGCGCAGTACATGTCAAAGCCATCTCAGCAGACTGAGGTAGACAACCTCACCAGTCGACTTGCTTATCTTGAGTAGCACCCTTCAGGTAATCTGTGCCTAACTCACCCACACGTACGAGCTAGTGTATGTCTGCGCCTTACTGGCAGCAGGAAAATGTGGGCAGTGAGGCTTACCTCTGCATGATTGCTAGATGAAGATGCCAAGTACGCATTTAGAGAATTAGCTAAGCGTTTCTCTGAACGTGACAGCAAAGCTCATCCCGAGGGAACATGACTTTACATTAAGTCTGCCGTCCAGCATCAATTCGAAAACCAAACGCCCAGAAGTGGTGGTTGTCGCAAATGATTTGGATGCACAGGTGGGTAGACTGAGCGAGACAGAAAGGCACTTAGGTGGCACTTCCGGAGTCTCGACTTAACGTACAGATAACGATGATCCCCTACTACAACTGCACTCAGATAACCGCCTATTTTTACCTAGCACAAATTTCAGATATAAAGAAAGACACTGTCTGACATGGCGTCCACCGAGCTCAACTCAACGATGAATACAGATAGACCACATCGATACTAGTCATCGCTGGAGAGGATCGGTGGAAGACTACCGCTCCTTCTGTCGTACGTGTTTGGATGGCGACCACGTGTTGGTCCGAGAGCCTATATGCCTGCGTCTCAATGTGCATAAGAAGAATTTGGAAACAAGACCACTACGAGTGCTGCTGAACAACGAAAACACCAAAGCAGTGTTCAGTGAGAAGTTGGCTGAGCAGTTATCAGAGCAGAACACCATCACTCATCCATAAAAAGCTTGGTTCCATCTCCAGTCTGCTGTGAAAGCAGCGCTGAAGACCGTGGCCGACTCCGAAAGAGCAGTTAAAAAGAGCCAGTGGATATCAGCAGCTTCTTCCAAACTAATGGATGGACGTGAACGCATCCCTGCAGGCTCTGAGTACAGTGAAGAGCGAGCGTAACTTAAAAGTTGATTGAGAAAAAGTCCACACAACGACCGCGAACAGTGATGGGCAGCGAAGGCTAAACAGATGAAAAAGGCAGCGGCGATCGGTTATAATAGACAGTTACTTAGACTTATTAAGAAAACTGGGGGTAAATGTCGACAGCAGTTAGTGAGGCTACATCGGAGAAGCACGGAGACGACTGGAAAGATAATAGAACACTTTGAGGTATGGAATGACTGGCCTCCGGCCACCATTGTGTTGCCCGCTGTCCAGTTGGATCCTGAGAGTAACACTGATATAGGCCTCTCAACACTAACAGAAGTCGAGAAAGCGGTAGGTGACTTGAAACGATGAAGGGTGGCGCGACCAGACGGACTAACCCCTGAGGTATAAAAGGATGGTAGTAGGGTACTCCTAGCCAGTGTTAACCAATATAAGAGAATCAGATACGATACCCTTTGACTGGTTATCACAGTCTTCAAGAATGGCGAGAATTCCTCTTGTGACAACCACAGAGGAATCAGCCTGACAAACATGGTGTCCGAGATCCTAGGTTCTGTAATTCCCCGAGGCCTAAGTGAAGCTCGCGAACAACAAGCCCGAGAAAACCCGGTAGGCTTTAGACCCGGTCGTGGGTGTATCGACCAAATATTCACCCCGCGCCAGGTCCAGGAACACAGACACTCTTACCGACACCCGACGATAGCTGCATTTCTCGACCCAAAGGCAGCATTCGACCCCGTTGATCGAGAAGTCTTATTGCAATGTCCCTCACTGAAAGGCGTGTCGATTAAGTACATCATCTTATTGAAGGCTCTCTACTCGAACACTCGTGGGCGTGTTAGACACTATGGTGAGATGTTCAGTAAGCCAAACTCGTCGAGTGATGTCCATGAAGGGTGCCCACTGTCTCCATTCTCATTAAATTTTATCATAGATATTCCTATGGAGGTCTCCCTCTCGTCACCTGATTACACAGAGGTTGACCTAATCGGTGGAGAATTTTTCCTCATACCTAGAATACGCAGATGATATAGTCCTGTTAGGTGAAGTCGCTGACAAGATGCAGAGTCTTCTGGACACTTTGAGTGGCAGTTTGAGCGTGTTTGGGATGCAGTTCTCACTACCCAAGTGCAAATTGCTGCTCCAGGATTGGTCTCCAACGGTGCCTCACCGCGACTAACAAAGAGAGTGTAGTGGTTGATTGTGTCAACCATTTCACTTACCTGGGAAGTAGGATCAGCCCTACCCTGATGGACCAGTGGTCGATGAAATCTCTGCACAGATACAAAAGACTCAGCTGGGTTTCGCCAACCCTCGCCACCTATGGCGCCGCCGTGATATCCGTGATATCTTCTATTGAGCGTCGCGTGTACTGCACAGCAGTCCGGTCTGTTCCACTGCATTGCTGTGAAACATGGCCATTGAAGGTGGAAGACATGAGAAGGCTTCAGGTGTTTGATCACAAATGCCTTCGTAGTATAGTTCGCCGTATTCCGTGGTGTCACCATGTGAGTAACACAGACGTCAGGTGTAGAGTTTTAGGGAGTTGAGATAAATCAGTTGACGAGGTTATGAACCTTCATCGACTGAGATGGTTGGCTAGTCGCCGATTGCCTCGTCACACAATGTTGGCCGAAGCAGGTTGAGGCTGGAGAAAGGCCTGAGGTGGCCAGACTAAAACATGGCATCAATGTATGAAGTCTGTGACTGTTGGTTTGAGCCATGTGGGGCGATATAGACTAGGTGGTTGGGGTTTGCGGGGCAAGAGGAACCAGTGGTTGGAGAGTCTAGGTGATCACATGTCTGAGAACCGATGTCAGTGGTGCAGATGTATACACACGTTATCCTCATCTTCTTGACGCTGTGTCGAATCTCACCATTTTCTCATTCTTCGTTTCCCTCTTTTAGTACTTTAAGTTTCTTTTGACTGAATTTTCTTATCTTCATCTTGTACTTCACTGCCTGTTCGCCTGATGTACTGATATGAGGTGTGGCAACTCGGACCGTTACGTAGTAATGTCTAGTCCCATGTTGAAATTGATGATTATGGTGGTGTAACCATCCTACGATGGACCTTGAAATTATGTCAGCAGAAAAAGAAATCCTCAGTCATCGGTAGATTGGGATGACAAGATAGCATTAGCTGGCAACTCGGACCGTTAAGTAGTAATGCCTGGTCCTATGTTGATTTAGATGGATGGATTAAGTCTGTCGCAGAAACAGGTGAAGACATTCAGCAAGCTATACATGAAGGTTAGCAAACATCATTGGTTTCTGCGACGTCATGTAAACGGATTGATGCGAGAAGACTGATTGCAGTTAGCTTTGAGCACGATGAAGAGCGAAAGCAAATCAAAAGTAAGATGACCAAGAGACTTCACGTCGATCGCGAGCAGTGGTGAGTGAAGAAAGAAGAGATGGAGAAGGCATCAGCATTGGGTAAAATTCGGACAATATTGACGTTTATTAAGGGTATCAGAAGAGAAAAAGACGATGATTAGTGAAACCGCCATCGAAAAGGATGGGAGGCTGATGACCTTCTAGAATAGAGGCCTAAAACATTGGGCGGAACACTTTGAAGCACAATTAAACTGGCTGTCACCAACGCATCAGTTGCCTAGCATCAAGCCTGAAGTTGAATAGGACGTGGATATCGATCCCCCAGAAACTGACAGTTTGACCATTGAGGTTTTCAAGGACGGAGGTAAGAAATGTTTAAGTTAAGTGACGGAGGTACTGGGTAGTGAGCAAATGGGATTTAGAAGTAGTGCTGTCAGATCTGTTCTTTGCGTACTACTGTGAAGTGTAGTAAGTTGAGCCGATGCACTTGAGTGCG